CATTTCGAATAGCTGGTCATGCCATTTGGCCTTACGAATGCCCCAGTCACTTTCCAAGCGGCTATGACGACGGAGTTCCGACACATGCTGGATCGTTTCCTACTTATATACCTCGACGACATTCTGGTTTACAGCCGGAGTCTGGACGAGCATGTGGAACACCTGCGCACCGTTTTGGAGCGGCTACGACARGCCAAGTACAAAGCAAACCGCGACAAGTGCGAGTTCGCACAGCAAGAGTTGGAGTACTTGGGACACTATGTGGCGCCGCAAGGCATCCGTCCGCTTGCGGACAAGATCGAGGCCCTACGAGTATGGCCCGAGCCCACCAACACCACGGACGTTCRTTCATTCATGGGGTTGGCGGGCTACTATCAGCAATTCATCACCGGATACTCCAGGATTGCTGCACCTATGACGAGGTTACAGTCGCCAAAGGTGCCATTCGTATTCGATGACGACGCACGCCGGTCATTCCAAGCACTTAAGACGGCTATGCTCATGGCACCCATCCTTAGCATTTATGACCCCACCCTGCCGACATGAGTGACTACGGACGCTTCTGGCTATGGCATTGGGGCAGTCTTGGAACAGCACGACGGCGACGACTGGCACCCTGTGGAGTATTTCATCCACAAAGTGCCTCCCATCAACTCGCTTGATGATGCAAGGAAGAAGGAGCTGCTCGCATTCGTGATGGCTCTCAAACGCTGGCGGCACTTCTTCCTTGGGCGTCGTAGGTTCACATGGATCACCGACAACAATTCACTGACCTACTACAAGACGCAGGACACGGTGAGCAGCACGATCGGACGATGGATGTACTTCATCRACCAATTTGACTTCACACCAAAGCATGTCTCCGGCCTCTCCAATCGCGCAGCAGATGCACTCTCGCGAAGACCTGATCTTTGCGCTATGACACATCATGCCYTCGCATTCGACGAGGAGCTTCAACGACACTTCATCCGGGCATATCAGTCTGATCCGGACTTCGGCACGCTCTATGCACAGCTATCTTCGGATCACCCGCCGGCCAGCCATTACCGCATTGCCTTCGGGTACTTGCTGCACTCGAGAGGCAAGGACTTACTATGTGTCCCACCCGACCGTCGTCTTGAGACTCGCCTTGATTGTTCGGATCACTGGTATCTAAGTCTTCCGCTGTGCTATCTTATACTTTGTATTGAAAGGTCGGTTCTTGTTCTGGTCTGCACCTATACGGTATGCAACAGGTGACTCGGACGAATCAAGAGAGAGATTCGTGGGGCGTAGCCGGACAACTCGCCAAATGCGAAACTTTTGAATGCATCTAGACAGGCTGTTTGTCCTTATACACTCAAAATGCTGGCATTTGGTGAATGGTGCGGTGAGCCCGACAGCCAATTGCTTATCACCACATGAGCAGCTACTGACACAGTACTCAACAGACGTGGAGAATGGGGAGTGTATCTTCCCGTACACGGTGGGAAGATGCATCCTATACTAAAAATAACAAGAGATGTATCTTGCCACCTTCTGTGTGCAAATGCACTCCCGATTCTCTCTTTTTGTGAGTGGTCTGGCGATGCGTTATGAAAGGAAATTAAAATTTTAAGAATTCAAAACGGAAACGGATTCAAAGAAAGGAAACAAAAAAGGAAAGAAAACAGACACACGGAAATCCAGACGCAAGGACCTTTTTTCCTTTTTTGTGGACATAAATGTGGTCGCATGCATCCACATCAGGTCGGAAAAGCAGTCATACACATCCAGGGAAAATCCTCGTGCGATTATGCCATCACAGAAGCTTTTTCATAAATGTATCATGGATGCTACTGGAGGAATCTCACGGCAATCACGTAATGCCAGACTCCCCGAAAAAGTCCTACTGTCACACTGTGCGTATCCCCACCACTATTCTTTGTGTTTGTTTTTTCAAATTTATATATATATATATATATATATATATATATATATATATATATATATATCGTCAAATAGAACTGCCCGGTAAACCGTAGGCAGAGAGGGAGAAGAGGACAACAAACGNGTCAAATAGAACTGCCCGGTAAACCGTAGGCAGAGAGGGAGAAGAGGACAACAAACGAGGGGCTGTGACAAACTGTTTCGTCGGAGTTTCACCGACTCATTATATATATATATATATTAACGAAAACGTATTCAAGCAATTTAGCAGGAGGCAGGGGACATCACAATTCCACCCGGGGTTATCCTGGTAGCATCAGCCAGTTTCGCTTACGGCCTTAGCAGAACTAAAGACCCGAATTACTTCAGCGTTTGAAACCAATGCATCTTCCGGCAGTTAATGTAATCCCAAACGGTCCCTCATTCTGCCCACTTCCTCCCTCTACGTCTTCTCCACGGTACGGAATCCCGTCTAAAGCGATGACCTAGCCTACCCTGTCCGTTATTCCTTATCACTCTTCTGCCTGGCCCACAGAGGCCCTACCAACCGAGTGATCTGGTTAGGACACTGGTACTCTCTAGCCTCCTCCCTACCTACCGAGTACCCTGGTCACCTAACCTCCAATCCACCCTCCTATCTAAAGTTATCTACTCTACTAAAGCTCCCTAGACTACTCAGAGTTCAGCCACTTCGAAATCACCACACCTCTGGCTGAGTGCACACCGGCCAATTGGTTACCTTTCGCCCAGGATCTTAAACCACCAGTACTTGGGCGACGCCTTAGCGTTAACGCTACGCGATTTCCGCGGCCGGCGGGCCGTCGATAAATCGAATCGAAAGCCCGTGCTGCTTCGAGATTTGGGCAGCCGGCGCGACACGCAGTGCCCAAGTACTGGTGGTTTAAGAACCACCAAAGTTTCTTCCTTGGTCCTTTTCCACAGTTGGCTTTTCTGCTCCAATCTGTCTGGATCGCCCTCGTCCGACCCCGTTTGATACTAACCTTGCTCTCTCCATCAGAGTAGGACGTTGGTCTAACCTGGATCTGTTCCTATCTGCCCATATGACAGAGCTGATCACTGACCTGACTACCTGAGCCACCTAAGCCCAGCCTTTCAGCCCTGTCTAATCCCCCCCTACAAAACCTAACAGAACCCACCTTTCATCCCAGTCAATCCCTTCCCCTACTATCCTTCTCCGATGGTCCTCCCACCACCTCCAAATCCTCCTCCATGCCGGACAGTCCCACCAAAGATGTTTGATGGACTCAAACGGCCAAGTACAGTGTGTACACTTCAGGGACGTTTCCATTAAATTTCCCCTGCTGCATAACCAAACAGCAGAGGGGGTAACAAGCAGAGATATCGGGCCTCGCCACACCACTCTCGAAATGTGAAAAAGACAAAAATGTGGCCGGTGCACCTGGCCATGTTCTACCCCGGAAGTTCATTCTCATTTTGCACATTTCGAGAGTGGTGTGGCGATGCCCATCATCCACAACAAAATCATATTATTCGGATAGCCTACCAACGTGAAGACACCTCAAAAAAAAAAAAAAAAAAAAAAAAAAAAAAAAAAAAAAAAAAACGAGAGACATCCATAGGGCCGAAGGCTGGAAGCTACAAAAGGACAACAATCATAGAACCGGAGTTGCAAAAGACAAAATTCATATGTGGAAGCCAAGCATTCGCGGAGATAGGGGCCAGGTGCAAAACGGATATTCCTTTTTGGCGGTAGATTGAAGGAATAAACGAGCAATGAAGGAATAAACCGTTTAAGAAAATTCGTTTTCTTTTTGTTTTTCGTTTCTTTGTTTTTTTTTTTTTTTTTTTTTGGGGTAACTAGGGCGCAGTCACGAAAGGAGTTTGTAAATGCATTTCGAACTGCCTGTTTGCAGTCCAGTACCGTCCCCAAGTTTCAACTGCAGTCGAAACACGTCACAGCATAAAAGTCGCAAGGCTGAGTTTGCAACGGCAGTCCAGTCCGCCATGTGGCCTCCTGTTTTTTTTGTTTTTTTTTTGAATGTCCGCCGTGGCCGAGGCATCG